CCTGATCCGTCTTTTCTTTGAATATTCAAGGGAAGATGGTCTAAAAGCTGTTTTATCCTCCATCTCTGATGAATATGAATAAAAGCTGACTGCATGCTGCTACTGATGCACACAGAGACATCTGCAGGTAGATGTGCACAGTGTGTGTGCGTCATCCAGTCTGGAAAGTCTGTATGGAGCTTTGTGGCAGGCAGACTGGCCTTTTTAACTTTTATTTTTTATTTTTTTAAAATAAAACTCCTGGGACTGACTGGAAAAGGTCAGTCCCAGTCCCAGCTGAGTGGAAGTGTGGGAAGATCGTTATCATGTTCCTGCATGAATATGTGCTTTGAAGAGTGCAGACAGAGAGGATCGGTGGCATTTGTGGAGGGTACAAAATATATGAAGGGATCAGATTTAATTTAGCTTAAGTTTCATAATTATTCTGTTAGGTTTCGTCAACGACACACACTCACACGCACATGCACAGACATGTGCTTTAAATGATGTGACACAATACTGGCATAGATCGTGAGCCAGAAGCCGCTCACTAATGTTTCTCGGAGGGATTGCGCAACCTTCAGCTTCACCAGCAAAGCGCCGCTAATTGAACAAGTAAAACTGCATTATTCAGGAGCGGCATGTTAACCACATAAGCTGCCTACGGGCTTGGGATCCTAACAGTCACAAACCCTTTTCCCACTTTTCCTCATCACTCTTATCCTCATTTTGTGACTGTAAGCCTTTTTTTAAAAAAAATAATTTATGATGATGTTTTTCTTAGTCGTCTTCCTTTTCTGCTTTTTCTCATCCAATCCTCAGCCTTCTTTGTTTTGTCCTTTGCCTTAATTCCTTTCTCTCTTGCCCCCTCCCTTCTATGTGTGTGTGTCTGTGTGTGCCATCTGAGGTTGTTTTTCTTTTTCATGCTCCCAGGCCTACTGTGTGCTGCCAGACCCCCACAGCCAACCAAGATCTGTGCCCAAAATTCCTCACTACTGACCAGCCCTTCATATTGTGTGCACGTTTGTGTGTGTGTGTATGAAACTGGTTCAAACTCTGTACTGTCCCTGTTCCCGTGCTATACTGTGAATTCCCAGAACCTCTAAATTGATCTAAACATAATGGAGTCACTGTGCGTGTAGATGGCATAAGGTTTCAGAGCCACACCTGACTGAAATGCAGATGGGAGGAGTATCGGATGGTTGGAAATAGAGGAGGAAAAAACGCTCGTACTGTGAGAATTTGTCAAGAAACAGGGTGGCTGTGAAATTAGTGTCAGAGTTTCACACTTAGTGGACACATACCTCCCCCATTGGCTTGTCTGTGACGGGGTGTAGCAGCTCTGAGACCGTGCGTATGTGCGAGCTGTCACGTCTGCCTCACTGAGTCAGGCAGCACAACCAGTCAGCAGTAAATAGTTGTCGAGGTGGGGGTTTTGGGGGGGGGTTGTATATTTACCCAGGATTGCCTTTCTTTATGTTACAATCAGTTTACAGTTTGCGATCAGATATCTAAACGTGCCTCTGGGATGAATAAACAGTGAGGCTCAGTGAATTATCAAACTAAAAGGGGTTTCCCCATCAGAGTGACGAGGTTTACTTCAGACAGAGGTGGGAGGATTAGGATCAAACCTGCTCTGATCATAAATATTGTGACTAACTGGCTGAAGGTTTAATTCCAATAAAAAAACACCCTCAAATGCAAATAAGGAGCTGATTATTACTGTATCCCTTTAAACGAATGGTGGACTACTGCAGGGGGTGGGCACGCATGTCATAATGAGGATGTCAATGTACACTTTAAGCCCTGCATGACTGTTTTAAAAGGTGTACATCACATAAGAGATATCATATATAACTATATTTAATGTAAAAAAAAAAAAAAAAGCTCAGCATTTAAAAATAATATTGATAAATTCAGCTTTTCATCTTTAGCCAACCATGACAAAACAATTATACTGCAGGTCTCTGGACACTTGACAGTCTGAAGCTCCCTGTCCATCCATCATCGATCCTACAAAGACATCACACCCGGAGAAAATCGTGCCTGCTTTGTGTCACATCTTGCATCCTTTTTGCTTCACTTTGTGGTTGTTTTTTTTTGTGTGCAAATATTTGCAGTTGTGCAACCCTTAAACATCAATTTTTCCCTTCTTCTGCTTTTGTCAATTTGTAAAGACCCCAAAGGGAAGTAAAACATCCACCAGTGCAGATGCTGGTTATTCATTCCATACTTCACTGTTGCCCTTCAATTGTACCTCAAAAGAATTACTGTAATTATTACTGATAGGAAATCTTGGTAAGTGGTTAGATGGTATTATTCCTTTATGTATTTTATCTGAAAGTGCAGTAAATATCTCCTCAGTTTCCACTTTGTCTGGTAACAGTTAAATGTGAACATTTATTAGACTGGCATGTGAGGAATGAGCGCTTGCACTTCTCTGCGCAGCTACAATAGAAACTGTCAACGTCCATCAGCTCCCTCTGCTCTATTTCACCTGACCTATTTCTTAACCTGATTAGCCTAAAATAAATACCTTTTTTCTTTCTAAGCAGCTACAGCTCTGTGCCGGCATGTGACCCTTTATTTCCCCGCTGCAGATAGGCGGACAGTCCGCAGGGAAATCATAAATTTGACAGACATGTCTGGGTCGAGCTCTGCAGATAGGTCGAGGTTGAGCAGCTGTTTTTTTATAAAAAAAAAAAAAAGTTAGATTTTTGCTCTTCAATATCAGTTAAAACAACAGGTTTAGAGGCAAATTTGAGAAACTGAAGTTTTTGCTGATATGAGATATGAGGCTGTCAGCTGTGACGTGCCTACATCAGACGACCTCTGTGTAAAATGTGTTTGCTTGTCAAAAGAGAGCTTATCATTCGCCCTGGCTGCTGTAGTGCACTGACGTCCTGTTCCAGGATTAGACGGCGCGGAGGGTGGTGGTGATGGAGTGGTAAATAGTGACTGAGTGGTTGGTTGCTGGGCCGCCGTGCCATTCGGTGATACTGTCAGCTTACATTAAGCGGTCGCGCTGGTGAGGCGCAGCATCATAATTCCATTAAACGGTGACCTGGTGAGGAGACGATGAACTGTCAGCAGAGCTGCTGTGGCTGTGATGAGGCGGCTTAAGTGCGAGCTGTGGAAGAAGTGTTGTCACGATGGTTTAACTCGGCTTACTTCATATTGGAGAGAAAGCTCGTGGAAGACTTGCGTACTTTCCAATCAGCTCACTTATATTTACGTCTTTCTTCACTTCTTTCTCTCCTCAGGCATCTCTGTCATGGGTGTGAAGATGTTACAGTGCTTTCCCTTCTACAGACGCTGCAAAGAGCGCTGCAAGAGCAGGCAGTGCCCGCCCCCTCCAGGTGAGCACCACCTACTGTATATTCCACCTGTATGAGAAAATCAAATGTAGAACAAACCGCTTGACTCTCTATCTGCCACCCATGCAGTGCCTGTGGAGGAGATGAAGCCACGTCTGTCCTCTACGACATCCTGGGGCAGTGACAGCGAAGGAACAGGAAGCATCAATCGGGGTTCCCAGATCTATTTCTCCACCAAGGCCCGGCTTTCTTTCAGACACCAGCTGGACAGCAACATCAATGCAGTGGATGCCACCTACTGAGGAAGACCCAGGGCTTCATAGGACTTGAATGGACTCAGTTTTCCATCGCCGGTTTATGCTTGGAGCCCGATAGTAGAGCAAACACATTTTGACGCCACCTTTAAATGGGAATGGCGGTAGAGTTGCAGAACCACAGTTTGTCTTTTAACTGCTTGTTCCTCGCTGCTCGCACACAACTGCTAATGATTCGTCAGATTCAAAGGACAGAGGAAAAAGGACTGGGATGAGACGGCGCTCAGAAGTCAGACGATTAGATCCGCTGCCCAATCGGGCATACTGATGAGGGCGAGGACAATGTAGAGAGTTGTTTACAGCGTTCACTACCAATAAGTGCATTACTTTGTCTTCTGTTTGGAAGGTTTTTTTTACTGTGTTTCTTTTATATGTCTTTTTTTTTTTTTTGACTACCTTTGTAGAAAAAGATCAATTTGCTGATTAGATCATGGCTGGAGTTAATAAAGGCTGTTTCACAAAGCAAGAGGAGGAAGATAGCATTCAGTGTGATGAAGTGTGTGACTATCTAAACCTCATCATTAAGTCATCATCGTGAATTAACTTTCTAATCCTGCTCTGTGACTCAGAACCCTGCTAGTTTAAAGTGAGATAATAAAACACAGAAAATGTTTTGCTGTTTTATAAAAGACATAACTGTAAAAACACGAGGTGGGACTGTGTGTAACATCTGCTGCAGTGATGTTAATAGTTAATAGTGATCTGTGAGATCTACGGTGGCCCTGATACTTCAGAAAGGCTTGCTGAAATCCAGTTGGGTTGTGCACCACAGGGCC